GTTAAAACGTGTGTCATCTGTGGATAAGATTAACAGCACTAAAAAAAAATTATATTTTAACAAAAAACAAAATATTACGCAGCTTCATTTCCTTATGCCTTCATTTCAAATAATCCATCTGCATTTTAGTCCTACTTTTTAAACTCCTCTTYGCTGAAGCTCACAACAAACACAATCAATATCACAAGAGCTTTAATGTAAGTTGCTTTGTAGGTCATTTACCTCACAAAATAAAAAATAATAATAATAATACATTCGGCTATTGTCATAAATCACAAATCACACAGCAAATCCTAAAAAATACCTTCACAAACAAGAATAAACAAAAACAACATATKTTTTGATGTATTTAACTTTAGAACACCTGAGCTGCTGACATTTCATTGAAAAGTACCCTTAAAATGATTTCCTAAAGCTCTCTGTATTTTCACACCCTTTTTAGGTTATTTCGTTTGAGGTGATGTGTGTTCCTGGTTATATTTAAAAATGTTTTATATTTTATTTTAAAAGCGGTGAWTTAGCGTCTTAAAATGCAACCAAATCCTTTAAAAGAAACACAGCAGTCTGGTTTGATTTAAACTCAAAATGGGCTTATGAGTAACTTGTGACCTGTACATTCACTGATTAACAGTTATTATTTATAAGTGTCGTAGGTTGAAATAGAGGTTAAAATATATAATATATATTTATACGTATATATATATATAAACCCTAGGCAGGCAGCACTATTTTACAGGCGTTTAAAAAGAAATACCAGCTGATTAGGCACAAAGAGGTAACAGCCATAGTGGCAAGTGTTTGTTTTCTGAACAGAAGCGTTTATAGCCTGGTATAGTTTTTAACAGATCCACGCCGTTACCTACGAAGTGATGACGGCGTGCTTTAGTGCGATGGCAGAGTGGCGGCATTGGCTGCGCTCAGCTGACCCACAGCCAACATCAGGATGTCCTTTTTTTCTTTGTAAAAGCGCAGCTCTCTGCCGGCCAGCCGGGCGTCCTCCAGTTCGCGCTCCGTCGAGGCCAGCTCCTGAGCGATGGTGCCCGCCACGCTCTGCTCTCGGTTCACCCAATCGGCCGCCATCTGAGTGCGCATGTCGTCATCCAGGGCCCGGTGGGAGTAATGGGCCAGCACCTCCTGGGAGTTCAACCACAGAAGAGTCGGCGTTATAACAAGGGCTGTGTTCACACTGCAGACTAAAGTGACCTAATCTGATTCTTTTTTTTCTTTTTCAAATATGCAACCCACATCAGATTTTAAAAACGTGCCATGTGTCTAGGCCCGTCATGATAGGCAATAAATCAATAATTCAATGATAAATTTAAATGAGGTAAATAATTTTCATTTGCCTGTTTATTTGTTTTCTTCAAGTCTCCCTCTTTTCTACTACTTAGCGTAGGGAGGAGTGAACTCTCGCGTCAGGTAGCATGTAGCATGCTAACGCTGTAGCATGAGAGCCCCGTCAACGGGCATTTAGCTACAGGAGCGTCTTCGGTTTTCCAACCGGTTCTTTCAGTTGGCAACGCCTCAGGACACCATTCCAAACCTTGGGTTTGCAGAGAGTTTTTATTCTACTTATGTTTTACACTACGTATTTTTAATAAACTTGGTAAGCAGTTTGTGGGTGACAGCAATTATTTKATGAAGCCAGAGGAAGACATACAGAATAAACTGCGCGGGCTTGGATAGAGGAAGTGGGAAACAAKTTTACAGCTTCAGCAGCTGTTGTGTGMTGTTTTCCCAATCTCCGATCCARGTCAGTCCCTAACATTTTTTTTTTACATACATAAATTTCGTCAACTTCCGTAAGCTTCATAAGCGAGGGTGTGGGGGATGTGTGTGTGCGTGTTATTATTATATTAGTTTCAAATGGTCCCCAAACGATGTTATTGTTTATCGCAATAAGAGACAATTCATTGTCCAGCAAAATTTGTTATCGTGACAGGTGTGTAAAATAAGAAAAGAAGCTAACAAAATACACAAAGTTTATTCTAAAATGTGTTAAACATTAACACAAAGTTATCTGTAGCCTGATTATCTTTACTTCCTCTCTGTGCTTTAGCTGCGTGTCGACGTMCGACCAAAATTAGAATTTTTCAAAACCTCCTTTTGTGCTTTTTGTTTTTCTCGAGCAACACCGCTGCCACTCCGAGTGAGAAGTAAAACAGCTCTTTCCTTTAAACCCAACCCAAACATATCATTTCATTCTTTGTGACAGCTGTGAAAGTCAACCCTGTACTTGTATAATTGAAGCCATGCGTGAGACGGGTTCGGCTGTCACACGGTACCTGTCGGGAACACTGCCGCTCTCTCATGGCTTTGAGGCTTCCATTCCAGTGCAGCAGCTGGAACACRGTCATCAGCTCCTGCAGTTCAAAACAAAAAAAAACTATTTCAAACCCAGCAAAAAGAAAACACCAAAATCACAAGATTCAAAAACTAAATGTTTTAACTTGTGCAAGCTTCTAATTAAAAGTATTGCAATAATTCCCAAACCTAAGCTTCCTCCTTTTTTTAACAAAAACTATCACATTGGGCCTCATGCAAGAACATGTTCGTATTCTTATCCTAAATTTCTCTTACTTTTGTTCGTACAAAGGGTTCGTACGAACATGTCACGTC